AGTGTATCATGCAACACACTGTAAGGGGCCGGAAGATGGGCTTGCTCTGGCTGAACAAAAGACAATACCATAGAAGATTTCGACTTCGCTGACGATGATTTGCGTCTAATGTCGCACAAACTCGAAGGTCTACAAGCAAAAACCAACGAGTTGACAGAGGAGGCAGGGAAGGCGGGACTTCAGGTGAACGTGAAGACAGAGGTGACGACGGTATCCAATCAACAACAACAGGCACCGATCATCATGAACGGCAGAAACCCGAAGGAAGTAGTCTCTTTCACCTACCTGCCTAGGCAGCATCGTCTCAACTACAGGTGGCGGCACTGATGGGGGTGTCAAAGCGAGGATCGGAAAGAGCAAGACAGGTCCCAACTGATCTGAAACCAGCGTGGAGATCCACTGCATTGCATGCTCTCAGCATAAAGCGTGAACAAGATCTGGATTTTCAGGGCCAACATCAGTCAAGTCATTGCTTCTACGTGGTTGGGAGACTTGGTACGTTACGAAAAGCATCCCCGACAATACGCGGACAGGCGTCATCAACTGCGCCTACGCTTGCCTAATACCAAGAACCAGACAGCCGGAAAGAATAAGCAGCAGTGAACTGTAGCTGATGACGAACTGACCAATAACCTACCGCCCGACGAATACGCAGAAGAAAGTGGAAATGGATTGAAGTTTGCGTGCACTGAGGAAACTAATTGGGGACGTCACACCCCAGACGAGATCAGGCCCTTGAGTGGAATCGGAATGGGACACGACGAGTTGGGCGTCCTGGTGTGACACGGAGGTAGAAATGTGCACTTTTTCGGTCATGGGGGCGGGTTCTAAAGACTGCAGAGAAGGGAGTGAAACGTCGACCTGCCACCGAAGTAGTATGCGCCACTGGGAATTCATGCGACAAATAATTATGAATACGGAATATTTCAACTTGGTTTGAGTGACGAAAACCCTACTGCTTTCAAACTCTTGATCGCATCAACGACGTCCATACTCCCAAGCACCTACTGAACGGGAACTAATAAAGGTGATAGTAACTCAAAGGTTTAACGAAACCATTGTTCTTGTCTTATCATGGAGAACCATGAGATCTAGGACTCCTGTCTTAGATCAGTTACTCTCAATTTTTTACCTTGTTTGCGGTTAGCGAAGAATGTACGGTGGGCTATCACCAGTATCGGTGGCTGTGCTTCGTACAAAGTCATCCGTAGCAGACACACGGTTAATACGAATACGGATAAAGTGAACTACGCACGTGTCTGTGTGTGACATCGGAGAGGGATCAAAATGCACTGCAACCACTGGTGAAAGAGAAAAGCAACGCTGCATCTAATATATAGAGCCCTCCTAGTCTGGAGATCCATCACACTAATTCTAAGACACAAATTTCCGGACCGGGGTTCCGAAATGACTGCATCTTAGTGGAAGGGAAAACCACACGTCAGCCAGACACCCAAAAATCCCTGAGTTAAGTTATAAAGAGCTTGAGCCTCACGAAAACAGGGGAACGTCAGCGAGCTGAAATACTAACCAATCTTCTGGGATCAACAGCGTTTACTCGATAGCACTGAAAGAGTTGGCCAATATTCTGGCTGTTCTACTGGTGAACCTCCTCTTATATTCTTCGCTGAAAGGGAGATTACCACCTGCCTTTAACTACAGGCCAACCTCCTTGGTCTCCTCAGCCGCAGAAGACATAGGAAGAGTGGCAAATGACCCATTCCGTGAGTATTTCGCTAGGAACTAGGTTCAAAATGGTCGCCGAAACGAAACTTTACCCGGAGAATAACGCAACCGAACTCAGTCTGTTGATCGCAGGAAGCTGATTGGTGAGGCCTTTGACAGAGGGTTCCAGTGATTCTGTTTGGGAAACCTCAACTCATAAGCGGGTATGGAAAGTTACTCAAAGGGCTAAAATATTTCGTCATCACCCTCTGTCCATCTATTAAAGGTGATTCGTCCTCGATTTATTTGATTCCCAGTGCTGGATGAGATGTCTCAGGGTTCCATTCTTGGTTGGCTGGTATGTGTCGCTTATATGAATGGCTTACTAGCCAACCCAATTTGTTATTCGTCATCACCTACTAGTGGTCTGGAAATTTGGGGGGAGATGCAGTGGCTAATGAATATCTTGGTCCTCTGGGGAAAACCCTCTGGAGTCGCAAGCTGGACAAGCGATTATATCATGTAGCCCCTCTGCAGATCTAACCAATACACAACCGCCCTTCGGGTATACCAGACCTAGAGCTTAAGAGTGGATACATTTGCCGTTAACGGAATCCACCATAGAGCTGGAAACGCTTCTCCAGACCTGAAAGTGGGTGCGACGAGTTCGGTTGGTGCGAATAAGCTGATAAAACTATTTTGGACACCGAAGGTGGACATTCGGAGTTCAAAGGCTTAGATGAGCTGGGCTTAAGGAACTACTCGTTGTCATGAGGATCATATTTAGCAGCACTGCCTACAGGAAGCTTGTTAATTAATCAATTGATCATCCCTTTCAAGTTTCACTAAAGGATGAAAGACGTAAAATTTCAAATAAAAAGTATATTTCATTGAGGAAGGTGGATAATCCTAAAAACCAGTCTTCAGCTTCTTTACGACTCAAAACTTGAAGGTTGTAACCCAAAAAGAGACCTGCAGCAACTGGAACTCTGGTCGGCAGAAAAAATCTTTGGAAAGACGCAAAGTAATGCACATCAGTGCTGACGAAACAGTGATGACCCAATTGGAATGCAAGTTGAAACACGGCGCTGCCACCAAAGTGTTCTACCATACCCCGTGATGCTAATCATTCGGAACTTCGTTAGAATAGCATACCAAGGAGTCAACACCAGGCCCAGGTCAAACTTTTCCCACAAGTGTTCCTCCTTTATGGCATGCTCTACCACGTGTTGTGGTCGTAGCCCCTTACATTGAACCACCAAAGACATTCTCGAAACTACCCGTCCGTTTCATAATTGGTTGGAAAGGCTAGAACGTTAAGTTAGTTCGTATGGCCTTGTGGCATTTTGTTTTGCAGTATTGCGTAGACATAATTGACAAGTCATAGTTGGACATTTTGTTGCGCTGAATTAAAAAACTTTATCTAATCACTGACCAATACAGTATCCTGACGTATACTTCGCGTTGATTCCTGATATCTACACCGTCTGACGCAAATTGATCAGTAGCGTCCGGAATAATAGACAGGCCATAGTGTATCTGGACGCGTACATAGTTTTGGAGACAGATTTCAGAGCTCGACAACCTATCAGCAGAGTATCCAGGGCACAACCGATGTCACAATCCCACATCTGTTCTAGTATTTACCAATCACGATCCTTCCACTTTTGAAACACCAGCGTTTTCTGTTAAGTCCACCACTGTAACTGAAATCATACGATCCATTTTTCCCTTAGGACACCTGGCAGATACTTTTTCCCCATTCTCCAGCTACTCCACCCCAGGCATGCGTGTGAATAGTAATCATGAAAGACAGCTAATCCCCCCAGAAACTCGTAGCTTCCTAATCAGCTCAATGTGCGATTTGCAAATAACAACCCCAAAAACCATTCGTCTCACCAAAGCTAACGTCAGGTTATCGCGGGAAAAGGGATGACTTTATTACGGCATACAAGATCGCCCATCAAACAGACCATGCAAACAAATCAATTTTGCCTGCAACTCAACGATCTTCACGAGGAAACCTCATTAAGATAGCACACCAGACAGCCAACACCATACTCAGGTCCAAATTTTTCTCCCTCACAGTAGGTGCTTTATGGAATGCTTTGCAGAGACACATCGTTATAGCTCCCTCAGTTGACTCACTCAAGAGGCGATTAGACAGTTACGTCACCTCGCATGGACTACCACGGACGTACTCAGGTAGTCACCAACCTCAGTACCCCCAACTCCCTCCTAACTGCCACTCACCATCTCCCTCTCTAATACACCCACATTACCTACTAATTCTTCTGTAGGAACCAAACCCACGCGACCATTCGGGCAATTCCCAAATACTTTTCTTTCGCCCTCATTTCTCTTTTCACCCCTCCTTTTCTTCTCCTTTCCTTTTCTCTTCCCTATATCATTATTTTTTCTTCTCTTTTTTCTTCTCTCTTCATTCTTTTACCACTGCCTTACTATTCTCTTTCAGGTGCCTACACAGACAGGAGTCACGGCAGTTCCCTAAACTTCCCAGCGACCCGTAGCTCCCCAATCACTCTACAAATTAAACTCAGTAACCCACAAAACATCCACCTCACCGAAGCTAAAAGCAAGAAAGCAGAGGGGATTTCCTCGTCCACTGCAGGAGTGAACCGAACAACTAGAACCAAGCCCTAAGAACTAGACGTGAGAGATCAAAAACTACCAGTTTTCTACGCTCGCACTATCAATATTGGATATTGGAGGAGAGATATCTTCGCTCATCACGGAATCAAGCAGAATAACAAGAGTCAGTCACCAAGAGTTATACGCGAGGGGTAAAATCTGGTCAGTTTCCAATGCTCATACAACTGGTGATGGACAGACTGTCTGGTGGTGCGACACTTGAGAAACCCATCTGCATTACAGACCTTGAGAAATATCACACAATCCCAACAAATTTAATCAACACCGAAAAGCTCATCCGGCTAACCGGAGCTAAATCAGGCGAGTGGGAATTCACTGAAGACCTGTAACCCTCAATCCTCAAGACCCAGAGATGGTTTGCACTAGCTCTTAAAAGATACTGGACAGCTTAACCTTGACGACATTTCAAAGTTGAGCGAAACGCTGATGGTCAAACCGAGATGTGACTCCTCAGGCCTAGCCATAAAAACGGGAGGGATTAAGTTTCAGAAAAGCAAAGGCCAGCACATACTAAAAAATCCTCTTGTAATTACTACCATGATCGAAAAGCTGGCATCAAGTCTACTGATTCCATATTAGAAATCGGTTCAGGAACTGGTAACCTCACCATCAAACTTCTGGAGAAGGCCAGAAAGGTCTATGCCTTTGAAATAGATCCAAGGATGGTGTCAGAATTGCAGAAGCGTGTGCAAACCTCGTGAGTTCTTTCTGTTTTTTTTTGTTGATACATGTGATCACTCCGTCCAAGTTGTTCAATGAGTTTGATGGATTATTAACGGTGACCTAAACTTGAGTGACGGCCAGTTACTTTCGAGCACCCATTAGCCGATCGAAATCTAGCAGAAGAAGGACAGCGTGATTATCATGAATTGTAGCATTTCACTTGCAATTTGTGATTGTTTTACATGAGAAGTAAAGATATCTATATTTTCACTAGGTTTATTATCTTTTAAACCACAGCATTCTCGGTATTATCGTTCAGCTACACGAAACCACTCAACATGTTTTCAAGATTGTTCGTATGCTCTCCAGTTATCGGCTTAACGAATCGCTTTTTGTGAATAACTTGGTAGGGGCAACCTATTCAGATAACGGCATATACGATTTTCTAGCACTTGTGTATATTGTGCCCAATTCTATTCATTTCTCTATCACTAGTGGGATAGATTCTTCTGGTTTAGCTTTGACCCACTTAAAGTATTTATTTTTATTCTGGCCGTGTATGCCAAGAACGTCGTTTGTAAAAACATGTATATGTAACTTACTTAATCCTATCCAAGTCGTCTTCCTCTGTTCTGTTTACATTTGCGGATGAGATTCACCTATTTCTTCCATATTACCTACTCCACAAAACCTCAGATCCAGCCTGCATATGACTTCAGAGCAGTGCTGATACCAGTGCGCTGAAGAGACCACTTGTGTGTCAGAGTTCCTCCTGATCCCACGTATTCCAACGACCCACTACTGAAATCGTTTTGTTGGAGAGTTAGATGAAATCGTTTCGCAAATGATCCTGTTCTCAAAGATTTGTAACAGCTGGGACAAAGATGAAATCATTTTTCTCGGCATTAGGTACGCAATCCATTACACGACCACATTCACAATTTAGACTTCTCGCATGCATCCCAGCTTTGCAAGTGACTGACAGCGTGATCGTCATGATTCATCAACAGCTTATGCAGCATACACTAAACGGATGTAAATGAATGACCGTAAATACGGCGTCTGCAACGTGACTGGTCGTTCCTAAGGTCTCCCGTCACTAATGTTTAGTTCTACCATTTTATCTCTGCAAATTATCATTCTGTGTAAAATAACTATATTACCGGAACAAATGATTTTTGGAATGGTATTCAGTTCTGACTGGAAGATTGATATATAACTCAATGGTTTGTGGAACTGTACTGTGTATGCTAATGACAAGATGTTGAAGATTTCTTTCTATACTCGATTTCAGGAGCGTGTAAATACTATAAGTCACCGTTGCACTTCTAGTTTTCTCAGTAGATTCAAATGTCAGTAAAAGTTTCCATGAACATCAAAAACTTTTTTCACACGTTATATGGGACTTCGCTTACACTTGTTTTAGTTTCAGCAGTAATTTATAAAAGTTATAAACGTAGCTAAAATAAACTGTCAAAGTCAGTAAGTCTTCACACTTTTCTAAGTTCTTTTAATGCCTTTGAAACCGATATGTATAGCATTGTTTGTTAACACCGCAGGCGGAACTATATCTTATGGGTTTACACACTAGACTTTCAATCAGTGGGGCACGAGTTCGGAACCTATCTCATCTCTCACATCTTTTAAGGCAAGTGGTATCATTAGCATTCACACAGTGAGACTTAGAAACATGCTCGTGATTTTCGAGCCTTAGTTCATTTTGTGAAATGATTTACATTACAGCCAGCTACCTCCTTTTAACGAAGTTAAGAATGCGCTATATCATCAAAAGTTAGGAACAGCTGTCGTGTTAAACTACCAGTAGTACTTTAAAATAGAGACTGAAGATCACAGCTTATAATAGCGCTTATGAAACGTATGTGGTTTTCATCTGATGTTTATCTTTGTTTTTTGCAGCTGTGAGGTTTTTTTAAATAGTAGGGAATTTAGTGTAGTTGACGTGACTGCTAAACTCATACGTCCTCCAATGTGCTGGGCTGAAGATTAAGGTAGCAGACCCCCTAAAATAAAGCTTCGCCATCCTGGATGAGGATGCCTCAACTGAGATTTCATCTTTAGCGAGATCTTGTAAGTGACACATGAATGACACCTGTCAAAATCATTTACAGTAAGGCAAAATCCGAATCCAAGTTACCGGATCTGGTAGTTGTTTCCATTTAGACAAAGTGGTTATCAGTTATATCAGCGTATGCTCCATTGCAGTCATGTCGGACCACATGACAAGCGATCAAATGATATGGCTGCTTCGGGTAAAGTTTGTCAGCAGAGCCTCATAACCACTACTGTTTAGCTTTCATAGTTATAACAATAGAGAATATGCATTTTACCTCTGAAGCTATCATTCATTTTTGTTAAATGTCACAAATAATTCTGTTCTGTCTTCCTACCTAATTGATAAGCGTAACTATTAAAGGTAAATGGGTCTGAGAATGCTCCCAGCGTTAGATTTCTTTGTTTTCATAGCTTACTGGCACCTCGGAAAAGCGGTCACTCATCAGTAGCCCAATCAATAATAAGGGACATGCTGGTAGAATTACTAAATTGCACCGGCCGATGAAAATCAAGCGGGCTGATTGCAGATATTTTGTGAACAATCGCTTGGTAAAAACTCTTTTTTAGCCACATAATAAAATAGTGCAGAATTTGTTAAGGTTTAGAATTTGTGAGGGTAAACCACGATAATTCTTTTAGTGACTCGTCAATTATAACCAAAAATATTTGTTATAATGTACGAATTAGATTTCGACTTTTAAAGTTAAACGTCACGGTAATGAAATTCGATCTTAAGTGTGAATGTATGCCTTTCATAGTATAAGTCCTGCAAATAGTCAAAAATCAGCAAACAAATGGTCGTCTTTTCAGTGCAGTTGTTGTTTTTCTGCTACTTTTATCGCTCGATAAATATTCTTAATTTATTTTGAATTATGTATTAAGCTTTAATTAGTTGGAACTGAAGTGATCCAATGTTAAACTGTACAACCTAATATTAAAATATAGTTCATTATGAGCTGTTTGTCCATGATTTTGTCTAATTCGGGTAATACCGACACGAAACGTCACAGAAATCGCAAACAGCATGAGACAATCATATGCGAAATAATTCTTTTCGATTCTACTGTAATTATCGCCAGAAAATCCAACTGAAATCTTTATAACTTAGAAGTTGAAGGGATGTTTCAGGATCGCCGAGTGAGCAGCTCCAAGAACAGTAGAATTCGAATCTCCACTAGGATATTTTCATTTAGACATTATATAGATATGTTTTGCGAAAGTCACTAACATTAAGTATAGGCTCAAAATAATATTTTCCAATTTATGAAAAACTAGAGTTTTGTAAATCGGCTAGACATATTTCTACCGCTTTAAAATGCTTATAACATTTTCAAATGAAATACAAACATGAAGTTTTCAACCCAACATTTTCTTATGCATAAATAATTAGATCGAACAGATCGAAGCTTGAAATCCTCGTTGGAGATGCAGTTAAGGCAACATCGTGGCCGAAATTCGACCTATGTGTAGCAAATTTACCGTACAAAATTTCTTCCCCATTCATTCAACGATTGATTAATGCAGGTCGTGGTTTTAGAGCAGCAGTTGTTATGTTACAAAAAGAATTTGCTGATCGCCTTATTGCTAAACCTGGAGATAAAGTGTACTGTCGTTTGTCAGCATCTGCTCAGTTCCATTTCAAGATAGAACAATTGATGAAGGTATGCTATTGAATTTTCTCTGTTCACTATCTGGATAATCGTGTTTTGAAAAGCTTATCTACTGAGACATCGAAGTAACCAATTACACTTTGAATGTAGGACCTCATTATAAATAGTATTGTGTAATTGTAGACACGGTCTTCTCGAGATTTGTGTATCTTCTGTATTCTCGTGGTAATCGCGATTAAAGCCAACTTCCTTTTTCAAGTTGAAAATACCCATTGCGTCTGATTTTTGCTATTGGAAACCTATAAAAGGCGCGTATTTAGCTTTAGGAATTTATTCGACTGTAGTGAACATAAGTCACATCTCTAACCTAGATTTATAACCCTATGAACCTTGAAACGTGATCGAAGTGATCGGGCTACTGACAAATCAAATATTCTAGAAAGGAACTAGAGTGTAGATAGATGTTTTGTTTTTAGGAGGTGGTTGTTCATTTGAACTTCACCATTAAGTGTTGCAAATCGATATAACCTACCTTAAGTATTTCAAGCGATTCGATGCGTGGTTCCTATGAGCTCATACATAAAGCCAGAAACACTCTGGATACAAAAAACTCACTTGTTAACCGGGTGTCAGATCTTGGCGATCTGTACGCTGTTTAGTTGAGTGACTGATTAAGAACACAGAAATGCGTACTATTTGCTGCCTATTTTTTACTTATATGACTAACAAAATCAATGTAGAACCTCGCACACTGGTGCATCGGCTCAGGCTGTCATATTTCACAGTAGTGCACAAAGTACAGGTTGATAGAAAAAGATTAGTACCAAAGAAACTAATGTTTTGTGAGAGAATAAGCAATCTGAAAATACCGGTTAGTGCGGATATTCAAGCTTTAGAAGATGTCACGGAGTAAACACATCTGCGCCATTGTGACCGACTTTCAGCGATGTCACCAAGAGTCCTCAACCACTGATTCCTATCGTCTCATGGACCCCAACTAAGCATTCCATATTGCCCCCACACGATTCAGATCAACAGTAGTAATAGACTTCATCGACTGGTACCAGGTCTTGGTCTGGCCAGCCTGAACCCTCTTCCAACCTAATCCAACTACCCGTGGCACTTCGAGGTAGGCGTGGCTCAGCGTGCGCGGTGCATGTCCAAGCCGATTGAGGTTTACAACCTTATCAATCGACTTGCCTGTGTTGCGTATTACCTCTCGCCTGGCTTCAACATTGTTCACATACGGATTCCACCTTACGCGAACAAAATTGCGTCAGACGATCACCGTTGTCGGTTCACTGGCATGGGTTTTTTAGATACCCTCAAGATGCCTTTCAGAATGGTTCAGGTTCCCTACTTGAGCATTAAAGTCACCTGCCGTTGTGATTATATCTGAACGTTTCGCTTTCTGTAGCAAAGGTGACAGTTTTCCATAGTATTCATCCTCTGCATCATCCGAACTGCAGTCGGTAGGTGCATAGTCGGAGATTACGAATACCCATTGCCTAGTCTCAATCCTTCCTAGTCTTTATCGATCCATTCAGTCGAACAGCACAGTTACGGCTGTTGACTGGTATACAGTCGAGAAGCGCACTTTCTGCCCTGCAACTCAATGCTATACTTACACCAACTATTCCACGAGAGCTAGACATTGGGTCTCCAGATACTTGTAACGTGAATTTTGAAGATTCACTACTACAGCCAGGTGAGGTCAATTTAGTAACCACACTCCTCGAGTCCTGTATACGTGTCTCAGAGACAGCATAAATTAATGGCTAGAGATTCCAGAGTTCTGGCGACCGATGCTTGCTGTCCGATTCGGCATAGAGTTCAAAAGTTAAAAGCCTCTATATGAAATCGATGGCGGGGTCTTAGGAGACTAGCAATGAGGTTTCGACGGCTTTGGTGGTCAGCAATGGTTGCAGAGTGAGACATTACGGAAGGTGTAAGAGGCTTAATATTAGTAGTAAGAGGTAAAGGCAAAGAAGGAGACAGAGTTGATGAGGATTGGTTATGTTTGATTGGGTTTTGTGTACTACCGGAAGCGTGCGGACGGTCGACACTTCCAGACTGCCCAGTGTGGAAGGCCAGTTCTTCTTGAGGTACCTGTGAAGAGTTAGTGAGTGGCGCCGGTCATACATGGCCTGTTGGCAGTTTTGAAATTTTGGTTTTTTTCTTTTAAATCCAACTACGAATCCCTGTTGCTAGCAACAGCCTGCCACTAGGGGTCAGGGGTGTTACTTTGGTGGCCGACTTTTTCTAACCCTTCTTCCTTTCTGTTGGGAAAGCAGCACCAGCGTGGCTGGCATCCTAAAAAAACACTTCATTGCTGTCACACCCCATCCAGCCCTCACACTCCCAGCATAGTGTAGTAATTTACACTGCAACGGTAACTCCATTTCGCCTAACCACTATCCAAAAGACCTTTCTGGCATGGTAGGACCTCGAGGGAGCATGTGTTCTACTACCATAGCTTGTCGGGTCGTTATGATATGCAAGCCCGACCGCCACGCCAAGGCAGCAGCTATCTACGCACCCACTGGTTGCACCTCAGACTATGTAGAGCACAGGCTTTACGAATGTTCGTTAGTCTTCCTCCAAAAGACCCACTATTCATTATTATCCAGATGTGCTGGAGGTGGTTCAAGCAAGGAATCACCTTAGTCATATTTTTAGGACATCCTACCGATGATTTGGTAACAATCGTCTCATACATCTAAATTCCGGTAGTCTGCTTTTCATGGCAAGCTTCCATTTTCAATATCAGGAGACACTAACCCCAGCTGTCACTAACATCAAGTCATCGATGGACACAAAAAGATTATTTTGTCACCTCTGGAGATAACTATTTCTCTAGAGTATTTAGTTGGACTCTTGCCATTGTTGATTACACCATGCAAGTTTGCACACAATTGAGTTTAACAAATATTCAGATATAAAATTTACCTGTGTTCGGTAGTCAGTTTTCAGCCAGTAAGCCATGGGTCAAAGTCTTCCCTACCTAACGAAGTCTAGGCAGCCAGGTAATATCATGAGTCCTCGCATATTAGGTGTGAATCATTGCCCGCTGCATAATCGCAATTTTGTTTTTTACAAACCCTTTTGTTTCGGAATTTAGAAAAGCAAGTGTGTTCTCAAAGAGAAACTAAACAGGCTTTCATCGAAACTGAATAGCAGTCCTCACTCTGATGTGTTGTATCTAATCTGTTGTAGAAATAGTGATGAAGACTCAATGACCTGTAACTGAAAATTATTAGGAAACCACCTGATCTCTGCAACCTCGTCTAGTTCACTCTGATCATAACAGGGAGAGGAGATAGTCCGAACAGTCACCGATCATGAGTCATCATCAATATCAACATTTGACCAGGCATTATTGCGTGACGGTCCAAGTTGCTACAGCTCACATCAGTACATGAAGTAAAAGAAAGTGAAATGGACGATGAAGAAAAGTAAACCCAGTCAAAAAAAAGCAAAGTACTAAACGAGAGGAAGGAAGAATGAGAAAATTGTGGGATTCAGTACAGCGTTAAGATGAGGATGTGTGTATACATCTGCACCACTGACATCGGTTCTGAGCCATATCACCTAGAGTCTCCAACCAATGGTTCCTCTTGCCCCGCGGACCCCAACCGGCTAGTCTAACATCGCTCCACATGACTCAAACCAACAGTCAGAGACTTCATACATTGATGCCATGTTTTGGTCTGGCCGCCTCGGGCCTTTTTCCGGCCTGAACCTACTTCGGTTAACATTGTGTGACGAGGCAATCGGCGATTAGGCATGCGTAACACATGTCACAACCATCTCAGTCGATGAAGGTTCACAACCGTGTCAACTGATTTGCCTCTTCTCCCTAAAACTCTACGTCTGACCTCTGCGTTGCTCACGTGATGACACCACGGAATACGGCTTATACCACGAAGGCAACTGTGGACAATCACTTGAAGCCTTCTCACGTCTTCCGCCTTCAATAGCCATGTTTCACAGCCATATAGTAGAATAGAGCAGACTGATGTGCAGTACACGCGACCCTTAATGGACAATCGGATATCACGACGGCGCCATAGGTGGCATAAGTTGGTAGAAGCCAGCCGAGCCTTTTGTATCCGTGCAGGGATTTCATAGGCCACCGGGGCTGATCCTACATCGTAGGTAAGTGAAGTGGTCGACACACTCAACCATTACACTTTTTATTTCTTGTCGTGGCACCGTTGAAGACCAAATTCTGGAGCAACAATTTGCATTTGGGTGGTGAGAAACGCATCCCAAACATTCTCAACTTGCCACTCAGTGTTCGGAAGACTGCATCTGGTCAGCGTCTTCACCTAACAGGACTATGTCATCTGCATTTTCTAGGTCTAACGAAAATTCTCCTGCGACTGGATCAACGTCTGTGTAATCAGGTGACGAGAGAGAGACCTCCGTAAGAATATCTGTGATAAAATTGAATAAGAATAGAGAGTGGATAGTCTTGACGGATACCACTGGACGAGTACAGCTCCCGGGACATCTCACCATAGGCTCTAACACGGTCACACGTGTTCGGGTACGGAGCCTTCAATAAGGTGATGTACTTATTTGGCACGCCTTTCGGTGAGAGACATTGTCATAAGACTTTTCGATCAACAAAGCCGAATGCCGCCTTCAGATCGAGAAATACAGCTATCAACATGGAATTACTTTCTCTCTCAATGCTGAAGTTTCATTCTTATATTAACATTGACTTAAGGTCACCCTTTTGGTGAGTCTTCTACGTTTGTAAACCTCAGGATCAAAATTTGACCTGATAGAGTTTAGTAAGTTGAGTACTTATGCTCTGAGTCTTGCCATCAATTTCTTCTGCGGTCTATTATAACTAATTCTCCCTCATCATTATAACCCACAGGTAAACTTGATTACATCTACTTTTGTTTTTCATTTGCGTCCAAAACCCAACAGTATTCTCTCATTTAAACACCATGTCTAGGCGTTTGTTTCTTCGTGGCTTTCATTCCTGTTTTGTTGTATTCTCCACTCGCTTCGATGATAGTGCACATTGCGCCCATATTTATCTACAGTTGTTTTACCAAATAAAATTAATATTCTTTTTATCTTAGTGAAAGGATCATTTAGTTTCAAGTGACTCGTTGTCCAGTCAAAGTCCTTCATCTAGCACACTTATTTCTATCGAGTTTACAGCTGTTACTAAAAAGTTAACGATCTACTTTAATTTACTGATCGTAGGTGACGTATTTCGGACGATTTCATTATTCTCGACTGAAAATCTCCGATTATTTTATTGGGTTTTTCTGTGTCACTGATCTTTCATATACGTTCGTAATTCTTCCTACTTATCAAGCCTGTGATTTTATATTCTTATTGTTAAATATCACTACGAGTGCCTTTAAAGGCATTGACATTTTATGTTGCTGCTCGTACTTTGTCTGATGAAACGAGAAGAAAAAGATAGCATAAAACCCTATAGTCGCCGAATCTTACTTCAGTTTTTGAAATTCATGTGTCTTCCACTCATTAATATCTCAAAAAGAACTACCATACTTTTCACTAAAATAAGTATGAGAACAACAAAGTCCCATTAAGTCATTCGAAAAAAGACAATTTCGTGAAGAAAGTTTTCTTTTCGGTGATGTCATCTACTAAAGCTGAACGGTTGTATTTATGAGTATCGGAGGCAAATAACAGTCTGATAGCAATGATGGGAGATGGCTAACAGTCGAACCCAGAGAGACGGACAAAAGCCACGTAGAACCTCGCACGAAAGTGCATCGGTTTACGTTGCCACGCTTCATAGTAGCATGTAAACCCAGTGTCGTATAACATGACACTTGGAAGCATGTCGTGGCTAAGCTTGCGCGACGCACATGAAACTATAACATGTATTCTTTCCAGCGTTAACAATAGTATTCCCAAGTAAGTTATCTCTCCAGAGAAATCAGGAGAGCGCTTGACAAATGCAATATCAGTGTTCTACAGAACACCAAACACACTGTAAAGCATCTCAGTCCAGGTGAAGGATGATATCCTTCTGGATTCGTAATCTAATTGTTTTATAAAATAAAATGCTCAGACTGCGATGCAATATAAATACAGGTAAAGCTTCCAGTGAAATCAAAATTAGAAAACGAACGCCAAAGAGCGACCATCTAGAAATCCTGGAAACGTTTGAAAGCACTCCAGTCGCAGATGTACATGCTATAGTTTCACGTTGCAAGGCTGATCTTGACGATATAAACACTCTTTAGAACAGTTCTAGAAATTATATAGATAAGTCTCATAACAGAATGTCTTCACTCAAAGCGGGATTAGAATTGTCTAAATAGGAATGAGATTGAACAGCCTGACCTAGCTGCAACCCGCCCCCACATACTGACTCAACCAATACATGTGCGACAGGAAGTGTAAGCATACGTGTACATACAGATCTCGATTTGTAGTTCACACGCATCACAGTACGCATGGTAATCATCCTTGCCAACAATTTGAAAACGTAGAACCACCCGTCCAGAAAATCTCAAGTCAAGTAGTCATACATTATGCCCGGACATTGTCTATTCTGGTTTACAATAACCTAGAAGCAGTTAGCATGAAATAGCGTAAAGCTGGTGAAACAAATCTCTTATGTACATTCATCGGGAAACATAATCACCAATTGTTTTCTTAAACCTTATTGTCAAAAACTGCATTTGCCTTCATATTTTATTGCGCGATCGTTTATTAAAACTTAGCTGCTTATTAACCCAGGTCTGGAATTTTAAAGGCCTATTCAATTCTCATCGTTGTCTTATAGCTAGATGTTATCAACTTCCAACTGAAAACCTAATTTTTTGTTAATCCTATCAGATTAGTAGAAACAGTTTTCGTCCTCCGCCACGTGTTGACTCAGCCGTTGTTCGGATCGAACCTAGACATCCATTGCCACCTGTGATGTCATCAGAATGGGATGGGCTTCTGCGGCTTGTGTTTGCCCGTAAAAACAAAACAATTGGAGCGAACTTCGCAGGGAAGTCAATAGCTTCACATTTACGCAAAATTTACATCGAGAGTTGTAGTGCCAACGGGCTGTCTCCGACTCCACAGTCCATTGTCAATGAGCCGACAGGTGTCTCAACAATGGAAGAGAAGCTGAGCAAAATACTGCAAGATTCCGGATTTGAAAAAAAGCGCGCCCGCACTTTAGATGAAGATGATCTCCTCAGACTGTTGTTAGTGTTCAAGAAAGAAAATATATTTTTTGGTTAGTATCCCCGTGTTTTATTACAATGTACATAAGCTTAGCAACTACTTGAAGTAGGCATTGAGCCACTTATCGTGAGAGCCTATTAATACTAGCGGGTTGAGGAACTCTCATCTGAGATTTGCTACCTCCAAAGAAACCAACGATTGCTCTAATAATACGTACAAGGTAGCTCCTATAGTTTCACCTGTACTTCGAAAATTTCCTTTTACACTGCCTTTCAAAGAATGGAAGATATCTTTTTGACCAGAGTGACTTACTGCTTCAAATTATTACACTTAACTTGTTTTCTTACTCCCACACGTATACTAAACCTGTCATTGAACCCAATGCATGTTGTTAGATGAAGTGCACCAATTAATCACGGCACTAGAGGCTGTAATGACGGTTCACACAGCGCAATCTGCAAACCATTTAAATGACCGATCGTGAAATCCTCCGAATCATTATATGTAAACGATTTCCAACCGTTGACACTTTAGCCACCTAATAACGTGATAACCTGGGTACTTCAGTGGTTACTACCAAGCGATATATGTCAAATAAACAAACCTAACATGAAATTTAATCCTATTACAGAGCCCATGACTTCACTGACTATTCCTTTACGTTTAACTATGTTAAGGTGCCATGCAGAACCAAAATGTTACATGAAAACCATCCATCATATTTGAAAAGGTTAAAATCTATAGAGTACTATGTATATTTATGTTTCGCAAAACGTGCTCCCGCAGACAGAAGTTGTCCAACATGACAGTTTGCGCAACTTTCTGAGGAACGTTCTTTGCAAAACTTGAGTCGAAGATCATCCGCTTGGCGTTTAGCTCGTAATAAAACAGACCACTTGTAGTGACTGTAAGTAGTTCGAACACACGGCTGTGGTTTAGATACCGGTGTTGACAGCAAATCAGTCTTACTGCTTATCAGATCATCAGAAGATTCAGATGCGTCAGTTCTGTATGTAGACTGATTTGTCCTGACTGTAAAATTTCCAAAACAGATAAGTTCATACCAGAGTCTGTTAAGAATGTTTTCCTTCTACTTGATTTGTAACTGGATGGTCCTCTTAGCGACCCTAAAGCCAAAGGAGGCTCAATGGTTAATGATTTGAAATTGACCGCTGCTGGCTTTTGACCAGATTGAGTGGATTCTAAAACATTAAAGAGAACTAATTGAATTTCACGTGGGGAACAACAAGCGTTACTTCCTTAATATAGGAGTAAAACTTGGACACTGTGGTCGATTGTAACTCTATTTTAGTCTGTTTATTAGAAATGTCATACAGTGGAACAGTATCATTTACTGGATAACGTTTCAGACTCAATTTATTGTCCACATTCATATTAGGTAACTCCACAACTTCGAGACAGAGTTTATATATTCTTAATTTTCTCTTCTTTGTGATGACAAGGGTAGTACAATTTCTCATATATCTGGGACAGGTGCAGAATCATTTCGATTGCATGTATTTGGTGTTGATTGGATAAACAAAGATTCGGTTATCAGGCACTCTTTCCACTCAAATGTTTTTAATGCTGTCGCTATCCCATCCTACTGTGTGATTCCGTGTAGGGCTAGCTCACCTTCATCACCTTCTAAGTCACAAGTAAATTGGATTGCATTCACTACTGAATTTATAAGTGCCAAGAACCTATTGATGTGTTCCAACTTCAGTACTGTAAACGTATCATCTACATATTGGAACCATATTATAAGAGTAGGACTAAGTGTTTGAAGGGTCATCTGTTCCAAACTATCTATCAATATGCGTTACTTCCGTAAGTGAAGTAATGCACTGGGATTTCCATAAGTTAAATCATTTCATGACTAAAAAACCGAAAATATAACGTACAAGTAATCAGTGCTTAGCGTGTAGTAGGTAACTAATGAACGTGATACACCTCCCTTCGCGGAATTAAGGATTTTACTACATCAGGGAACCTATCACATTCCACAACACATCATCTGCATCAGTGAGTAAACGCGCCCCACAGAAACCGTTAATATCAGATGTTCAAAATAAATATTACAGACTGAAGGTGAGAGCTGTACTTGGTGAACTTTAGATGTGCCTAAAAATGAGCATTCAGCTCCTTGTCTTCAATCTCGCTAAGCAGAAGCGCCACGTCCAATGAATTTTCGATTTTCTCTATTCCTATCACTGAATTTTGCTAAACCTAATTACACGCAGATCCACTAATCAGACATATTTATTCATCGACGTAACAATTAAACTTTATTATATAAGCGGTATCATTTACGACTCAACGCTTTCTTGACTTCTTTAACTTTTCAGTTGAATTCGTTTTTCAGATGATCAAATGATACTGATGTTATTCACTATCCTTAGTATTTCTCATATGGTTACCGAAATAAAGATTATGGCCAAAGCAGCACTAAGCGGCAGAACTTTACCTCAAGATAGCCAAGTACCACGATGAACAAATTACTGTAAAAAAAATGGCTCGATTGGATAACCAAACAGAGAAGTTTAGGAATGCGACAACATTGCTGACCCGAGACTCTCCAGATAATTTGCTGCGTTAATGAGGAATATACCTGCCAGTGATATGCAGGACACTGGTCATATTCCGGTTTGGAAAATGAAAAACGGTTAATATCAAAAGAACACATTTAAATGTCTAACTACCGGTACCGACAAAAATCTAGCATAGATAGCCCAGTATTATGCCACTGGATCAGAAATGGAAATAATAAAGATATCCTAACCCAGTGATGCTTTCCAGTAAAAAGAATTATCAGTAGTTGTGATGTCAGCAAAAGTACGAAGAAAACTTATCCAGAGGTGGTAAGTTTAATACTGTGTCTTCAGTTGGTAGCATTTGTCATGATGATTTGATCAAACAGAAGCCATACGTCTAATACTACACAGAATTATCCTAGGAGATATTGATAAAGCTAGCCAGATTGCAAGTGATTATCCCGAATACTTAAAAAATACACGAATTATACGTATGAAAGCATACCAAAATAAGCATTAAGGAACACAGATAAAAATTCCAAACATGAAGTACGACATTTATATAAACTATGATTACGGTGTGATTGTATAGTGTGACAAATATTGGGCGCTGAGGTTGATATAGATTGTATTTGAAGTTCGACACCTTATTCTCTATACATACCCATGCAATTACGTGTACGCTGTATTAATTCTAGTTACTACTAACAGTAATATGTTTAGAATTCATTATTGGAGGCATACACTGAAACTGGAAGGTGATAAGACTACATACCTATAGGAACGTTACTTATCAGGCTTGCGGTAACATTGTGCCAATGTTTACGCCTACTAATAATATCGCGTGAACGGTCTTCCCAAATTTCCGGTTACCAAAGTGGTGATCACCCCCACAGTAGCATATTCGGTATGCATTTCCCAAACTTAAATATAAGAGTACACCTTTCAAAATCTTGCGTAATTGAAGTGGTTTGCTTCATATTACACTAATTAGAAATGCATGGGACAGTTTCTCACAGAATACTTAGTACTTTTTTCTCTAATCGGTCTTGCTCAAACAAATAGGCTAAAAGAAACTGAATTGTGCAGTCATAACAATAAGGCATGCAGGAATATGACTGATACTACGACATGAAAATAAGTTATTACTCATCTTATTTTCCCCAAGATTTAAAAATACTTATGAGGCTAAGGGGGATGTCCACCACTCCCAAATGCCAGGTCATCATACTTTAACCTTACTTGGGACAGAAAATTGATTCTCATAGGACGCGTTGACAAAAGAAATTTCTTCTAAAAGGCTGTTTTGTTAAGCGAGCAATGAAAATTGGAATATTTTTTATTTTAAGTAGCCCTAAGCGCTTTGCTTCTGAAACACTGAACGTGATAGGCAACTTCAAATTTTCTGAGGGTTCGTCTTAAATCAAAACCGAAAACCTCTAGGAGTGGTGCTTGTGGCACTTATCTGACACCTAACCATGGTCTGCACAGGCTGAATATTCCATGAGGAAAACTTAACTCGAATCGACACGCTTTCGTGTTTTTGATAACTACAGTTCATTTATAGTTCTAATAAGTTTTTTTGCGCTATCATAGCAAAAATTTGAATGTTAATTCATTTAGGCAACAGCTTTAACATAACTGAAAAGAAAGCGAGGAAATGCAATGGATTCACTGTGGCCTAACAACTGTCGTTTTGTCCTGCTCACGTTTACATTCTTTCTTTTAGTTCTGCCTTAAAATGATCAGTCGAAACACTATAGCTCTGAAAATGATATGTTCTCGACCGTTGTAGAGGAGAGTTAAAAATTTGGAAAACGACTGGTATCCATAGTATGAATTCTCGTGTTAAAATTCGGAAAAAACTTACTTCTTGAAACTTCAAGGAGAATCGAATTCAATGGTACAATGCGCGTCGAAACGTTTAATCAGACGAATGGACCTTGGAAAAGAAAAAAGGCAGTGTTCTATCAGGACAATGAATGTCATGAGAACACGCCGACCAAGAACGAAGCTGACGGTGGTGATTATATCATAAATCAAAGTGTCATAGAGACCAACTGGTCAAAACCATCTATTCTAAACAATCGGGATATATACTAACCTTTTGAGTCGCACTGCGGAAGCAGAAAATTTAACGGTACGAAATAGTGTATACACTGGTGGACACTGTATTAATTTAATGTGATTCCTACCTCTCTGTTTTGACAAAACACCAGCTCATCGTGTGCTGTACACTTAACTTTCAAGACCGACGTACATCTTCTATTCTTCATGCATGAAGTACACACGAGACAATCCATATTCGACGCAATAGTCACATTACAAAGTTTGCTAACCAATCCAAGCGATCAAACAGAGGGGGAGATTTTGTTTCAGGGCCAGTAGGTGAGAAGTGTGGGTGCAGTTCAACGCACTGTTCAGCAAACGGAAGGCTCTAGAAGAGAAAACAGGAAAAAGCGATGAATTAAAACTCCTAATCTAGTTTCACTAATGTGTCTAACAACATCTGATAACCATCATAGAGCCAACTACCTCATGAGGAACAAACTTGTGGACAATGGTTGTGATGCGGACCGTAACCAGAGAGTTCACATTCCCCCAATCGAACCTAACTGAAGACCAAAGCTCATGAATGGTAAAACACCAATGGAGAACTCTGCATAAAACACATCAATACAAACTTACACTTAACTGCTACACAAAGACGAAGCAAAGGATGCATGACAATAAATAACTGAATGTGAGGAAATAATCAAAATTTGACACTAAGGAATGCATTTACGTTATCGCATCAAATTTCGTCCTGTTATCAAGTGTCTTTTAACACTAATTTATTTCCCAATCAATTTCAAATTTTGTGCGGGAAATCCACTCACGGTGTTAACTTCAGAGACTAAAACAGGGAGTCCCAGGTCCTTGGCTTTATACAATACAGAATCGTGTAGACTTATTACGTGACGTGAGTTGATACTGAAAAGAATAGCAGGCAAAACTGACGGTGACAATCACTTCCGGAATCAAATAGGGTCATAGGTAAATCGACCAGAAAGTCCACCTTCTGGGTAGCAAGGGTATTGAGAGCTATGTCTCACCCGGCAAATGTGGGCGCACTTTGAAATTTCTGGCTAAAAAGCGGCACTAAAACTTTAGGATAACTACCGACAATGCATCGTCGCACCCGAAAATATCAAAAATTCCGCCCAAAAATTCCAAATTTGTCAAACCACCCAAAAATCCTAATGGTCTGCAGTGCGCCCGAAGTTTTAAAAATTAGGCATTATAAGAGGTAGCAAGTAGTTTATAGGAATACATTTGGTCTATATGTATTCTTTGGAGCAGTATACGTGATGTGCAACTGTTTATCTAATGACGGAGTAATGTAATTTTCAGAAAATTTGAATTTTTGGAATAAGTGCCCAAAAGTTCCAAGCTACGCCCAAAGTTGAGTTTGGGATTTAAGGGTGGGAGAACATGTGCCTAAATGGCTTCAAAAACGAATGGAGTATCAGTGATAAATGCTGGTGGGAGACGACCCTCTTTATCTAGTTGCCCAAAAATGCCAAAGTGCATCCAAGGTCTTTGCCAGCTGAGACATAGCTCTCCAATGACGCTCAAGTAACCAATAAGTTTTACATATTTTGAGTGCTAGTTCAGTTCTTTGGTTGTACGTTGAGATCGGACCGTTTAGTGTGTTGGAATATACATAAGAAAACAATAATTATATTCAAACGTGACTGAAACGTTTTACAAACCTATCATCCAACTACAACGTGCTGTGCTTGAAGTTGATATGAAATTAAAATGACTGCTGAAGTTAACCGGGAGAAGTACACAGTTACAAGTGTAGGAAGTTATAACCCCGAAGAAGTATTACTCTCTCAATTCGCGCGCGCACTTTGAAAACAGGAAGTGAATTTTTCCACGTTTTTGACATTTTTACTTTTGTTGTGTAATCCGTACCTTATAAACTTTGACTTGAAGTGCTTGAGTCAGTGTTCGAAGTTTCATCATTTTTTGAGGCTTCAGGTTGATCTTTGTGTTGTCACAACTCAAGTCCCTTTGTACTTCAATTAGTACACGGTACTAGTGAATAACATGGTTAGCAATAATCATGTTTGCGGTCGTCTCAGCTGTAAATTTCTAGTGGATGAAGGTATGCAATGTGATGCATGTGGACGTTGATTCCACAAAGTTTGTACCGGATTGACACCAACTGTGTACAAGCGTTGTAGCAAACCAGCTTCTCCCTGGTTATGTGATTTCTGCTGCAAGCCGTTGCCAACCCTCGTCCAGGAAGCTGTTGAAAATTTACTCGTCAAAAAACAGCTCAGTGGAAACGAGAGCTGTCATTCTAATGCGACATCAGATGATGACGCTGCAAGTGTTATCGTTAATATGTCTGATACAGAACCTCTCAGCGGACTAATGGATATTGGTGATCCAATTGGTGAACTTACACCAGTTTCGAAGCGTACTCGACGCAAGAGAAAACCGAGGGCAAATGGTACACCAACCATAATGCCTGAGGATTCTCGAAAAGACTGCATCTCTGGTAACAGCGTTGACTCTGTAAAAGTGGTCAACGAATCTACATGGATTTCTCCAAGAAAGCATCCGAAGAGACTGCCAAAGGTTATCACGGAAGATACTGAGCTTATAAAACCTATTGTGGTTTCAGAGGCCGTCAACACAACTCAAGGATTCCACTCTATCGCCCAGTTTAGTCTTCTGGAATGTTGGAGTCATCATACAAATATGCTTCAATACATCACGGCCGTGACCTGAAACTAGTCGAGTCGGCCATTAGATGTATTCTACCTGGAAAGTCTAAAGGGGTACACATCTCCAAAGTAATAAGGCTAGGTAAAAAAACGGACGAAAAACCTGATAAAAAGAGAACTTTAAAGGTTGTTTTAGACAACAAGGATGAAGTGGATGTACTCTCGAGTAACGAAATTCGGATATCCGCATTTGACTTGACTGGCCCCTCGAGGACCGCATAAAAAGAAAAGAAGCTGTTGCCGAACTTAAGGCTGCATAAGCTAATGGAGAAAACGATCTTAAAATAGTGGGTTTTCAGGTTGTGAGGTCTTGGAAACGAATGCTTCCAAGGCCTATATGGGTGGGTCATGGAACCCTTCCAACACAATGAAAGCAATCTACACTAATGTTCGCAGTATTATAAGTAAAATGACAGACCTCGAGACTCTAATCTGCGAACTAGGTCCTGACATAGTAACCCTTACTGAAACCTGCTTAATAAAGGATTTAGATTTTACGTTACTCCTCACAGAGCATTACTGTGTAAGGACGGATAGGGTTCTGGGTCGCAAAGGTGGCGGCATACTACTATATGTTCGGGATGGCGTCCACATACGATTAGTCACTTCTGAAGCACATGAATGCGGGACCTGTGAAGTGGCCAGTTGTGAGCAGAAGTCAAAGTAAGTTTTCTGTACTATCGGGGTCATTTACCGTGGTCCATCCTGCCTTGCAAATGACTTCGTGCTAACCCATATACACAACTAGAGTAGAAGTAACAGATGCCCAATAGTTGCGGATATGAATGCTCCATACATAAACTGGACCGAGCTAAGTTTCAATATCCGGCAGTTCCTTCGAAAATGACTTACGCTTGACGGTCTTCGAATCTGCTTTAGTTCAAAAAGGTAACATGTGCAACACGTTACGATTTTGAGCACAAACCATCGTTATTAGATTTAGTTTTAACCTATCAATGTGAAGACATTCTGAATCTACAACACTTCCCTCCATTAGCTAACAGCGACCATGTAGAACTAACCTTTGGTTTTCGGACTAATGAGTTTGGTTATGACACTGCCTTCCGTAGACCTAATGTATGGCGCGGAAACGTTTCAAGTATAAGGGATTGCGCAGTCAGTAAGGATTGGACCGTCGACGAGGACCCATCAATTGAGAACGCATGGAATAGGTTTAGAACTCTATTTGAAGAGATAACGACTCCATTTATTCCATGTTCGACTCCACGACGATCCTTACATAGCCCTCCGTGGTTTAATAAAGACATTAAGAGACTGTCAAGACGGAGGAAACGTTTATGGGACTTGTTTCTAGAAACTAGACTGGAAACATTTAAGACGGAGTACTGTAAAGTCCGTAATCTCTGCAAAACTTTGATTACATGGTCTCGAATGTCCTACGAGAAGCAGCTTGTGAGGGATTACCAAAGTTGTCCTAAAAGACTGTTCACATTCACCAGAAGGAGGACTAAAGGAAAAGATGGAATTCCCTCTCCGGTGACAGATGAGAAGTTCGATAGTCTGGCGGAATCTAGTCTGTCCAAAGCTGAATGTCTATCAAATTACTTTAGTGAAGTCTACTCTATAGATCATGACGACGGAGTGCTAAATAGTGGTCAGCACTGTTCCACTAATAGATATTGTGTTCACAACAAAGGGAAGAGTCTTACAGTTGCTCATTAACCTTAAACCTGGAAAATCCCCGGGTCCCGATGAGTTGCATCCGACTTCTATCTTTGCTAGCAGACATCACTGCTGAGCCAGTCACAGGTCTTTTCAATATGTCCCTAACTCAGACTCGCCTACCTAGAGACTGGAAAGATGCCACAATCAGCCCAGTTTTTAAGACCGGTAGTCGCCATTTGGTGTCTATCGCCCTGAGTCTAACTAGCAAAGTTAAGATTTTAGAAAAAATAATTCGTAACAAGGTACTTGATCATGTTGAATTGGCCAATCTTTGGGCACCACAGCAACACGGTTTTCGTACTGGACACTCCTGTCTAACTTCCTTATCGCAAGAGAGGAATAGGTTGCAGCCCGTGATTGCAAGCTGCCAATAGATGCCGTGTTTATAGACTTTAGTAAGGTATTCGACAGCGTTGCATGTAAAATTACTAGGAAAGCTCTCCTGCTTTGTGTGGTGCTTCATTGCAAGCCTGGATTAGGGACTTTTTGTACGTTAGAAGGCAAAGAGTAAGGGTAAATGGGATACTATCCGGGTGGAAACCTGTGATGAGTAAAAGTCCTCAAGGAACAATCCCAGGTCCACTACTTTTCTTGTTATATATCAAGGAACTGCCAAAAATGCTCAACTCTTCGGTACTATTATTCGCCGATGATGTAAAGATTTGGAGTCATACGCAGTGATGCAGATAGGTATGTACTTCAGGCGGATTTAGACGAACTAGTAGGTTGGTCCAAGTGTTGGTGCCTGAGAATCAACTCTAATAAAAGCGCAATAATGCAGATTGGTCATAGCAATAGTTTCCAGTATTTCGTTGATGGTACACCATTACTCCTAGTCTTTGAACTAAAAGACTTAGGTGTCATCACTAGTCATGATTTGAAAACCTCGGCAAGCTGTAATTCGGCTGCAGCAAAGGGCTTCTGCGTATTGTGATCCTTCCTCAGGGTTTTCAAATGCTTTGACCAAGACATGTTCAGAATACTCTATTCTACTTACGTAGACCCCATTTGAAATACTGCATCTAGGCGGCCAGCCCATGCCTAAAAAAGGATGCTGACGCACTCCAGCGTGTTTAAAGGGTAGGTACTAGGCTTGTGGCAGGCCTTTTGAATCTATCCCATGAGGAACGACTAGATCAGCTAAACTTATTCCTGCTGCAGGAAACGGGGTGATCTCATAGTGGCATTTCGTAATCTTAATAATGACTTCGGTACTGATATGTCTAATCTTTTCAGCCTGCTAGGACTGACTATCTACGGAAGCATCACAAAAAAATCCAAAAGCCGCGATCGAATCAACTTCGTGTGAATCGGCGTTTCTCCCATCGTGTTATCAACTTCTGGAACTCCTAACCTCAGCAAGTAGTGTCAGCACCTTCTGTCAACGTGTACAAGGAGAAACTAGATCTTTACAGAGATATCTTCTGCAATAATTAACACAAGCCAACTAGCCTACTATGAGGAAATATCCTTATAACTGAAAACAATACGCTGCTTCCCACTGATGGTAAACATGCCAGACTGCGGAACAAAAACGAATAATAACTAAATGTTACGAAAAGACCGGGAAGAAACTGTTTTCACTTTACTTACAAGGAGAATGCGTGGACAGCAGACCACCAACATCAAGAAAGGGAAGTAGAGGAACTGAGCGCTTTCATGTTTGTGTTTCAATATCCAATATTTTTTTACTAATATACCGCAGACTAACTGATTTATTCGTGCTCGCTTCCAGGTCTTACGGAACGATTCTAGGTCCTTGGTGGATTCCAATTCAATGTATCTACCCACCTATCTGCTGTAGCTCCAGTTAGAACGACAGGCGGTTGTGTGTTGGTTAGATTTGCATTGAGTATGTGGTTTTTCCAAGTAGTGTAGTGCAGATGGGTTCCCAGGTGTCATGCTACCATACAGTTTGTCTGGGTGGTTATAACACTAAGATAGGAAATATATCCTGACAGATCAAATGAGAGGAAGTGCGAAGAAAAAATCCTGATAGCCCTGGAGCACTCGTATATAGTTCTCTTTGTTCCTTTTTTCTTGTTCATTTACTGAAGAAATACCTTGTGCTGTTCTGTTCTTAGCTTTGATGAGACGGCCTTATCCTGGTTAATTTGTATTTTCAACTTGGGGAGTGAGCTGGCTGAAAAGCTTCGATTTGCAGTGAACTTTGGAAGTCTCTCTTTACTCTTATCTCCTTTGATACCTGACTAATTGCTGCAGACTAAAGATAAAAGGCTGTGTGAATTCGTGAGAAGTGAAATCAGATAGGATGTGAATACTTTCCGGAAAGAAATTGGAGGACAAAGCGGGTAGACTGAAGCAAACAGATAGTAAGTTTTAAACGGGCGTAAAATAACAGTGAGTTCAGCTGGGTTTTCAGTAAGCTGATAGTAAGTTATGCGGACAAGAATCACTTATCAAGTCTCTTGATTGTTAGCCATAAATATCTTCCGTGTTTAAACACATACTTCAGAAGCAGACCCATAACCCGGACCTGTTTCCGCTTCTATGATTTCCAAGTCTCGTAGCATTCTACAGGTTGGTCGTCATGCTTCAGGCAAGTTTTCCCTTTCCTCATGACTCTCCTGGTAGATGGTTATGTGGGCCGAGTTTAATTTTTCACTTTCTGCCGCAGAATAAGGTAATTTTGTTCATTTGATTTAGCCTACCTGGATGTTTTGTCCTAGCCTGGCAAATGTTCTTATTTTTTTCTATAAAATAGAGTAGTCCTGGGGTCGCTGTGGTATCAAATTGAGAACTTCTAAACGAGACCGTATCTAATCAAAATATTCTCCGATTGAAGTTGTATAAGAGCTTTGCTGGATGAATTTCCTCAGCGTTTCAGATACAGTCAACCAGGAGTGTGTTAAAATGCTTGTGGTAGGGCCGGGCACTGTTTCGAAGTGTCCTCTAACATGCAGTATGCCGTATGTAAAAGTTGGTTCTACGTCAATCGCACAAGCCTTACGCCCTCAGAATATAGGAGGTACAGTGATGCAGGTAGTGCTTGGCTTTGCGTGTTGTGCTGCTCGGATATTCGCGCACTGTTAGAAGAGGCAAAACACTTTTGAATTCGATAACGAAGGAGCTTGTGTCCGAAAGCAACCTCTTCAACTGCGACGGTGGCAACGAAACGTTATCCATTGACAGATCGCTGCGCAAAACTTTAAGAATATCCCACGATAAGCCGTTGGTCAAGCGCGTAGACTACCTAGCAGGTTTACTCACAGCGACTTCGAAGAAACTACACAAAGCAGAGAGAAGTAACCATCTTCAGGTTCTTTCATCTGCGAAGCTAGCAGGCCCAGTGTAAAGACCGCCAACCGTAAGGCTAGGTCAGCTTCCGATGAAGGGGGGGGAATGAAGCACTGTCAGTGGCAACTCCGGAACCATGTAGGCCACAGGTCCTGTCCAGTTCTGCTACCCAGCGGGTGAAGAAAACTGCACGAAGAGACATGCAAGTCCACTCTGAGTCTGTTGGTTTCAACGTCACTGAAATAGGCTTTAGTAAGCCTTGCATAACCAGCCGTGAGAATTAGCAAACAATCAAGTCTTAACGGCATGCCACGAAGCCAGTAACGTTCATGGAACCAACTGTCATAACTCCACAAAGTAAAGATAAAGCAGAGCTCCTTGATAGGTCCGTAACCTTTCACACAGGGGAAAAAGTAGAGATCCAGAATCATGTAACCGTTTCGAACATGATTTTGATAGAGTAAGCAGCTTGACAAACCAGCTTTTGCCGAAAAACATACTGAGAGTCACCCTACTCAAAAGGCAGACAGTCCACAATGAAAATACGTGTTGGCTGCTCAAAGTCATATTCGTACCAACAGAGGAGGGGAATCAGCTTCTGAAGAATACCCACAGACTTCAAGAGGAGCGTTCCCACGTTAGGATTCGGGTTTGCTGGTTGAGTCAAAGAACAAGAAGCAGAAGAGGAATTAAGTTTTAGATTGCCAGCAGGAGAGATATAAGGATAATGGGTTTTTGTGCAGTGAGGTTTTGGCAACAAAGTGGTGCCGAATCCTCCGCGGATAGGATGGTAACCAACTGAAGCAGTTTTATCGTCTTTTACACAGAGGCGCGTAACCTCTTAAACAGTTGGACTGAGCTTAGTAGTGTAATAAGGATAGAAATTCTTGACACCATTGTTATCTCATAAACTTCGTTGTCTTCTGAGATCGACGAGAGTAAGACATATTTACCAGGGTTCGTTCCCGTTAGCAGTGATAGGTTATCACGCAGAGGTGGTGGCGTCACCTACAAAAGCCATAGAAACGGATGCACATGAAAGTTAGACATGTGAAATGCTGCGCTGCCGACTAAAACGCGAAGGCAAGATGTTGACATAATCATAGTATATCGAAGCCCTGAAAGTGAGGCAGCAGAGTTCCTCTCGAATATGTGGACACACTCTACGCATGATTGCGGATGCCTAGTCATGGGAGACTACCCTTCAACAACTGACAATGATAGGCCGACAACGGAAGAATAACGTAGCTGGTTTCTTTGGCTCTTATACAGCGCGTTGGAGCAGCAACCAGACACAATCACCAGCATCCTCTGCCATTTCTAGACCTAGCATTCGCACATACAGATGATGTGTGCTTAATCCGGCACCTTGAACCCCTTGGTAAAAGTGGTCATGCTGCTGTCTTCCTCGGATATACAGCAGCTGTCTTGTGCCAGTTTGATGCCTCAGATAAACCCAGTGTATGGAAGGCGGATATGGCAGCTCTTAACCTGACAGCCTCTTCGGTGGACTAGACACTCAATCCAGAAGCCTCAGTTGAGGCTGCACGGTGCTCCCCCGAACAGTTATATGCGCTAGTGTCCCGAACATTCATTTCGCGAACCATTCTGAAGGACAAAGACACTGACCTCCACGGATTAACCACGAAATTCGAATCTTCCAAGGGCTTAAGAAGAAGTGTTAGATTCTTGCCACCCACCTTATTACTCCTGAGGTCATGAAGCATTACAAAAAAGCAGGAAACAAATGTACTCATGCTCTCTTTCGGTTTCCGAGACTTCGGAACACATCTTGTCCAGACTACACTACAGCATTCAAAGAGGCTATTTTCTTATGTGTACTGTGAACGTTCTCAGACATCTAGATGTATGAATCGGAGTTATTAAAGTCCTCCAGTTCCTTTAATGCTGATGACTTTACGATTGAATACAAGTGTATGAGCACTGGCTCCTCTCTGTATAATGAGCCTAATGAAAACCGTTTTCTTCTCAAAGCCACCACGGTACACCCCAAATACGGAAAATTTTAAGAACCTCATTATGGAAAAACCATGTAGTTGACTCCACATGTTTACATGAAAATGTACATAAAGTCCGAATAATTCAAAAGGAATGAGGGTTTCTCCCTTCTCCAAACTGGATAGCGTGGTAATTCCTCTTTCCATATCTGCTCGTGCTTCTTCTTTCTTCTACCATTTGCAGAAACAGCTCCATGTCGACATCGGATGCTCCAATTCAGTCTGGGCATAATTACTTTGTAGAAATAATACCTGCTCATTGAGGACAATAATTATAGAACTCCTCCCACTCTCTCATGAATTCTCGACCATCCTCATGATTAACTAACCTGTTGGTCATAATTTTTTGTTTGTGACAAACCGAATAAACTTTCCCAACAGTATTGGTACCAGAGACATTCTGAACAGATGACTAAACCGGCGAACAATTTACCTCTTGGCTCGGAACGCAAATTACCTGCGGTATCTCCACACAATACATTTTCGAATGTTCTGTATCAGGTGATCTTTTCATATTAAAGTTAGTATGCAACGAATACACCTCTTAAATGATACTGCTTACGCTCATTCAAAAGATGCTCGAAGTATTCGTATACATAGTGCCATTTGGACTATTGATCATATCAACATCTAGATCAATCCAATGCAACAAATATTCTTGGTGGAATTGATTTCCATTACCTTCAAACACAACATGATGACCCGGAAATGCATTGGTATAGACATACACGTTGGTTATATAACTGTGAATACTTTATTGATACTCCAGATTGTATAAGTTGATCGTCTGTGGTTGGCAAAGCTAAAAACTGAAGATCGTTCTGAGGAATAAACTGTTATATCACTAATTAGCACTGTGCGCATGGACCAACAACGTTGGTTGGTTACAACGCAAACTTTGAACACTGTGCACTTTTGATACGGATAGCTGAACCTGTATGTGTGATGGAAAATGAAAATCCATACCCGTTTCATGAATTTCAGCAAATTCTAATAAGATTACGCACACTACTAACCTGATATGTGAATTGATTGGTGGTAAATGCCAGTTGGTAAACTTTCCGAAATTGTGAATTTGATGGTGCTTGTAAACTGGCACCCCTCATGTTAAACCCAATATGTGAGGATAATATTTCTTATTATCTAAACTTTAATACTTTGTATACCTCGGGAAGTGATGTTTTCTTGTTCGTTTCATAACTAGCAGGATCTTCGGCTGTTTTAATGGAGTTTAATGCCATTCCGTCTGTACCACTCAGGATTCGTAGTCTTGTAGATATTATGAGATGTATCGGCGTGATAAAGTCTGTAAACTGGCTTCTCTCATGTTAAACATTTTTAATGTGAGGA